AATTGTAAAAATAAAGGAATTGAAACACAGGAGGGAAACGAATAATGTTTTATATTATTATTGAAGCCTTAATTTATTTCATGGTAAGGCTTAGATGTGCTGTTAGTACAAGTCATAATCCTACTTTACTGTGAGTTAGGCAGATAGTTTAAAATGAAGGCGCTCTAGAACAGTGATTAGGAGTTCAAGGCTGAAATCCTGGCTCTTCCCCTTCTGAACTGTGTGGTGTAAGTGGCAAATTATCACTTATGAATCTCAGTTTCTTCATCTCTAAAATGAGTATAAGGTTTCCACACATCCTACACCCCTGCACCTTAGCCAAGAAATGAGATCTCTTGAAACTTGTGCATGTAAAAGGGGATTATTGGAAGAATACCATAAAATTGCTTGGAACTCAATTGTAGGAAGTGTGATCAGACCTCATGGATTTAGAAATCCACCATATAGCCCTTCTCTTCTTCTCACCACTTTGACTGAACATGGGCGTAGTTGCATTCTCCTGTTATTCTCTCCAGGCAGGCTTTCTCCATTTATTTATCACATTCACATGGTTAAAATCAGCCCTGAGTCCACCCAGTCTCCAGTGCCCACCATCATCTTCCTTGCTACAGTCTCTGCGTCTTGATTCCAATTGACTACTGAGAGATCCAGACCTGTAGCTTGTCAGGTAATAGTTGGGTGTCTTTGAGTGAGTGCCCAAACCTGGTTGCATGAGTTGTGGCCCTGTGGGTGGGGAGTGGATGGGGACAGATTGTAGGCCAGAGAAGGCTCTCTGAGAAGAGGGCACAGACTGCACACGTAAGGTGACTTAGAAAAATGACTCTCTTTGTAATCCGTCAATAAACAGTACATACTCCTTATTATAATTAAAATACTAACAATTAAAAGACTCCAAACTAGAAATTGGGTAAACTATGTTCTAGTCTGGTGGAGGTCTATTAGAATCATCTGGTAGAGATTTTAAAACTCTCTATACCCCAGCTACACACCAGACTGATTAAATCATAATTTCATAATCTCTGGGGATGAAACCCAGTTGTCAGCATTTTTCAAAGCTTCCAGGTGATTCCAATATGTAACCAAGGTTGAGAAAATCTGATGAAGTCTGTATTGTTACTCCACTTTGCTGTGTGAACAGTCACTAACCCTCAGTGGCCTTCCGTCTTCTCATCGCAAATAACAGGTATCCCCAGGTCCCTTCTAGTTCTAACTTGAATCTTCAGGATTCAGATTTGGTTTATCTGTAATCAAACAACTTTTTCATACAACATATTTTAAGGTGACTTAAATATCATAAAGAATCCCATAAAAATTTTACAAGTACAGATTAAAATATGGTTGGGGGTAGAAACTTCTTCTAATTAATAATTAATAATTAGCACTATCACTGTAAATGAAGTATGAGTTTTATCTTTTGTGCATTAACCTATGACATACCTCCCTAACCCTTTCTCTGGCTGGTTTAAAGATTTATGGAAATGCTTAATGAAGAAGAAATAGAAGAGTATGTCTCTGAATTGAACTTTTTTTTTTTGGTGGCTGGCTGGTATAGGGATCTGAACCCTTGATCTTTGTGTTACCAACACCACACTCTAACCAAGTGAGCTAACCGGCCAGCCTATGAACATTCTTAAAAGAATGTATAACTTACGGTAAACAGCTCCAGTTTCTGGTGTGGAAATGTGGATTTTTTTTTTTTTTTTTTTTTTTTTTTTTGTATAACTTACGGTAAACAGCTCCAGTTTCTGGTGTGGAAATGTGGATTTTTTTTTTTTTTTTTTTTTTACCTTTATGTGAATGTCCTTTGCCTTTGGTGGGGCCACATCTACCTCTTCAGTAGGAAATGATGCATCAGGCTTCCAGAGTATGGCTACTCTGCATCTGATAACCTGGGAAATAGAATATGGGGGTAGAAAGGGAAACTCCTTGGGCTTGGGAGTTGGATTCTTATGTTAATGATTATTAGAAGGTTTAGTCCAATTCTTCTGCACCCAAGCAACAAAACAAAACATCAGTACATCAATATATGATGAAGGTAGCCTCTTCAATATCAATCCTACTTTTCTTGTACTCATATCCTTTGCATTAATATTAATTTTACAAATACCAATTATATTAAAAAAATATCACTCAACTGAGAGGATAGATGTCATACTTTTGATATTATCTTAAATAAAGTCACCTAGTGGCTGTTTCAGGGGAGGAACCGCATTACAGCCTGGGAGTTATTTGTGATCCTAGGTATGGGAGAAAATCAGTTTTGGGGTGGAGAGGTGAGTCGGGGAGCAAGGGATGGAAACAACCTAGTGGTAGAAATCATCAAATGGTGGACATTGGCAGATTGAGGTTGGAGAAGTTCTTGGTGGCAAGGTAGTTTTTAAGGGTTCTTATTTCAGTTGTCCACCATTTTCAGTATAAATTCTCTTCTTGTGTGATCTCACCTATTTTTATAGATTCAACCACTACATTTATGTAGATGACTTTCACAATCCATATCTATGGGACAGATTTCTCCCTAAATTTTAGACTCGTGTATTTATCTGCTATTTGAGTGTCCTATAGGTATCTCAAATTCAATATATTAAAGTATGAACACACCATCATTTCTTTCTCCCACCTCCACTTCTTCTTGCCCTTTAGTGGACATAACACACAATCTGCTCCTCTCTCTGCTTTCTGTATTTCAACTAGTGGCCATGAAATCTGTTTACACACCCACAATAGAAACCTAGGAAGTAGCCTTAATTTTTCTCTCTCCCTCATCCCCACAATCTCATTTTTTCTGAAATCTGTCTCCTCTTTCCATTCCTAGTACTGTGTGATCCAGGATCTCACTGCCTTTCACCTGGACTGTTGAAGAAGCTCTCTGCCTTTCCTTTGGCTCAGTTTCATCACCTTCTAACCCACCCTCTATCTCATTGCCATCTAAAATGTAATCCGGATCATGCTACTCTCCTGTCTAAAAATGATGTTCCTACCAATTGCTTGACAGGATCTGTTGAGATCATGATCCTCTCTCTCCTTGTCAGTCTCTCCAACCTCATTTCCTTTCTACTTCAGACTTTTCCCTCTAGTCACAAAAATATTCTGTAGACTCTCATACAGGATATTTTTCCTGTCTGTATATATGTCCTCATGTTGTTTTATTTGCCTGAACACACTTCTCCTTTACTTGGTGAATTCTTCTCTGTAAGTTTCCCCTAGGTCTCACCTTGGGAAGCCAGGCTAGGCTAGGAGGCCTTCCTTGAGGATTCCATCCTCTATCTCTCTTTTCCTATCCTTTCATGTTCTTTTATAATTACTCTTCTATAATTACCCTGTCTCTTTGTGAGATTCTTGAAGAAGGGAATATATTTTTGGGTTTGGACATTACTTATTGGAGGAATAAAAAACTGAGGAAAGACAA